CAGGCGGGTCTCGAACCCGTGGGCTCAGGCAGTCCACTCACCTCAGCCTCCCAAAGGCGCAGGATTACAGGCTGAGCCACCGAGCCGGGCTAGGGTTATTTATCTTAATGTAGTTGTTTTGAGTATAGCATTTCCTGACTAGATCTTTTGTTAGGTGGTCATCCCTACCTGTTTAATACCAGTCTGTGGGAAGGCATGGGCTTTGAAAATTGAATTTGAAATTCTTCTTGGACTTCTGCAGTTGTATCACACTTAAAGTGATACCATTTATATACCCTTACTGAACCATTCTCCTCCTTATCCATTTCCACCAGCTTCTCTTAGGTTGGCTGAGGCTTTTGGTTAGCAGAAGAATGTCCTCTGGGCAGCGTAGGGAAGGGTTGTGTTTCTCCCTTCTCTGAAGGCATGGCCTTGGGCATAGGGGCCAGATGTGGCTGCATTGTACCAGATGCAGCAAACAGGTTCTCAGGATGTATGTGTGGAGGATGGAAGACTGAGCAACTGAGGGAGGGAGAGGGTCCCAAATGCCTCTGTTCCTGCTCTCCATCCCTCCCTTTACAGCCCTGCCTCTGAGTCTAACTCTCTCTCCTCCACCCACACTACCCCACCTCTGTTGTCCAGGTGTATCCACTGTGGTGTCGTCCACGTGACCTTGGCCTTGCTGAAAAGCCACATCCAGGAGCGACACTGCCAGGTTTTCCACAAATGTGCATTCTGCCCCATGGCCTTCAAGACTGCCAGCAGCACTGCGGACCACAGTGCTGCCCAGCATCCCACCCAGCCCCACAGACCCTCCCAGTGAGTGCAGCCCCAGGGCCAGCAGGCCAGAGGGGAGTGGCTTGGGTGCTGTAGGGGTGGCATAGGGATGGATCAAGGAGCCAGGCTTAGTGGCAGAGGTGCCTGGAGTCTACAGGGACATCCTGAGACAGGGGAGTATCTACATTGGCTCAGGCCAGTGCTTCCCTAAATCTAACCCTGGGCCAGAGAGAGCAGAGATTGGGTGGAGGGGCTGTGCAGTTCTGCCAGAGAGCCTTGGCCACCTTATGCCCTGGGGCTTGTCTCATCAGGCTCATCTATAAGTGCTCCTGTGAAATGGTCTTCAACAAGAAGAGGCACATTCAGCAGCATTTTTACCAGAATGTCAGCAAGTCGCAGGTGGGCGTCTTCAAGTGCCCTGAGTGCCCACTCTTGTTCGTGCAGAAGCCGGAGTTGATGCAACATGTCAAGGTGGGATGCCTTGAGGGAGGAGGTCGGGGAGGAGGGCACATGCCTCAGGCCGGGGGTCTGACTCTGTGCATCTTTCCCCTTGCCCAGTCAGTAATCGCTCTCCCCATCCCCAGAGCACTCACGGTGTTCCCCGAAACGTGGAAGAGCTGTCAAGCCTCCAGTCGTCAACGGACACATCTTCGAGCCGCCCTGGCTCTCGAGTTTCCACTGAGCCCCCAGCCACCAATGTGGCTGCTCGGAGCAGCTCCCTGCCCTCTGGCCGCTGGGGCAGGCCCGAAGTCCATCGCAGGGCTGAGGCCAGGCCCCGGCTGAGGAACACTGGCTGGACCTGCCAGGAGTGCCAGGAGTGGGTTCCTGATCGGGAGAGCTATGTGTCCCACATGAAAAAGAGCCACGGGCGGGTAAGTGCAGCCACACAGTCACAGCACAGTGCCAAAGTCTCTGGACTTCTTTCTGTGGGGTCAGAGTCCCTTTACGTGGCTGACCCCCTAGACTTTGTGGTGCTTTGGGCAGGGTGGGACCACAAATGTTGGGTCTTTGGGGGCATCCTCCTTTCTGCCCTTAGCATCTGAGGAGAAAGATGCACCCAGAACCATGTTACAGTTCTGATGCCTCGTGTGTCGCCACCTCCTCCCTTAGACATTGAAGCGGTACCCATGCCGGCAGTGCGAACAGTCCTTCCATACCCCAAACAGCCTGCGCAAACACATCCGCAACAACCACGACACAGTCAAGAAGGTCTACACTTGTGGGTGAGTCCTTGGGGGTGAGAGTGAGGAGGCCTGAGGTTCAGGGCACCACTGGGGCTTTGTTGTGAGACCAGGAGTCTAAGGCAAGAGACAAGCGTGCCTAACTGGAAAAAAATTGTGGCTAAGCCAGAAATCAGAGGCAGGCCAGAACCCAGCTTCCAGAACCTGTAGCTCCTGAGCCCTCCCCCTCTCATCTCTAAACAGCCCTGAAGTTTGAGAGGAGTGACGATATGACCATACATCTCTCTGGTCAAGTGGCTTCAGTACCATCTGCCTGTATCTGTACTCAGGCCCTCTCACGCTGACCACCAGCCCAGCACTTGGGCCTCTGGGCAGTGACTTCAGGGAGCATGGAGTGAGATCTGGCTGAGGGCCAGGTGTCAAGAGTGCAAGTATTCTGACTTGCTATTGTCTGCCACCTTGGCTGGTCGGCTGGCTGGCTGGATCTCTCCGGGGAGCACCCAGCACCAGCCTGCCTGAGGCTATGGCTGTCTGCCTGCTCTAGACTCTCCCTCATGGCCTCCGTGTGAGGAGCACAGAGAGCACCTGCAGCCTGGATCTGACATATCTTCCCTGTGCTTCTGCAGGTACTGCACAGAGGACAGCCCCAGCTTTCCTCGGCCCTCCCTCCTGGAGAGCCACATCAGCCTTATGCATGGCATCAGAAACCCTGATTTGAGCCCGACGTCCAAAGTCAGACCTCCTGGTGGACATTCCCCTCAGGTGAGCATGGTCTCTCTGCCCACTGGAGCAGCCTGCTCAGTGAGGCCTAGAGTTGGAGGGGTATTAGGAAGGCTGCTGCTATGACCCTGGAGCAAGCAGAGTGACACCTTACCTCAATGCAGGTCCCGTCTAGTTCTATGTGATCCACCCGGGCACTGGACAAAAGTAGAGGGCAAGGATGAAGACCCATGAGGCAGCCTGTCAACCTTTTGTTACTATCATTTCTCTGTCACTGTGACTCCCCCCCGCCCAGATGTATGCTGTGCTCTGTGGACACTGCTGCATTTTCACACACATCATCCTGTTTCTGCCTCACAGCAGTCCTGTGGGACAGGGGCAGGCAGGGCTGCTTGTTGGATGAGGACAAGGATGCTTGGCTGACTCACCTCCCCACCTTCCCACTAGTTATGGGAAGAGCCAGGCTTAGAACCTGCTGCCATGGCCCCTTACCCTATGACCTCATCGCTGTTACATGCCCTAGTCCTGTTTCTGGTGAACTGCTGGAGCAGCCTGGTTTCCCCTCCTCACTGCAAGCTCTTCCCATGCCCTGGTGGAGGGAAACATCCCACAGAGGGGTCAGGTATATCTGGGAAGATTTGAGAGCTGCCCAGAGTTCCAGGGCATTCGAAACTTTCTTGGCTACTCAGACAGTGGCATTGTTGGCAAAGGCCTTTTCATGCATAGTAGATAGAGGTGTCAATTGATTTTTGGCAGTGTCTATCCAGTAGTAAAATGCACATCATTCCATACCTCAAAATGCACATGTCCTTTGATCTGGCAATTCTGCTTCTAGGATATATTAGAGATCTTTGGCCTTGGACATAAAGAGGTATGTTCAAAGATGTTAGCTGCAGTGCAGCAAGAAAGATGAAACACAGCTAAATGTGTGCCAGTGGGGACTGCTCATCCCACAATGGGTTACTGTGCCGCCCTTGGAAGAATGAACCCTTTGTGTGTGCTCCCGTGAGACACACTCCAATATATGTTGTTAAGTGAAAAGACAGGGTGAAGAAAAGTATCACTGGCATGCTATCATTTTGTAAAAGACAATCGTTTTGTTTTTGTATGTGCATAGGTTATCTCTTGAAGGGGCCAGAAAGTCCAGGTGTTCTTTGGAAGCAGGCCTTTGGTTCTTTGGGTGGGGTAGGAGGGATTTAATCTTTTCTAAACTCCTCCCATATCTTTGGAATGTTGTGCACATGCATATGTTGCATCTCAAAAAACCCCAAAGAACTGAAGCAAACCAAACGTAAGCCAGTGTGCAGGTTGAGGTGACCTGGCCTGGGCAGTACCTTCTGTGAGGCCTTGGGCTCGTGGTCATGTCTAGGGGCTCGTGTTTGGGGCTCAGCTTGGACTCTGCTCATGCTGTCTCTCCTTTCAGGTGAACCATCTGAAAAGACCAGTCAGTGGAGTGGGGGATGCTCCGGGCACCAGCAATGGCGCAACTGTCTCTTCCACCAAAAGGCACAAGTCCCTTTTTCAATGTGCAAAATGTAGTTTTGCCACAGACTCGGGGCTCGAATTTCAGAGCCACATACCTCAACACCAGGTGGACAGCTCCACAGCCCAGTGTTTCCTCTGTGGCTTGTGCTACACCTCAGCCAGTTCCCTCAACCGCCACCTCTTCATTGTCCACAAGGTGAGAGACCAGGAGGAGGAAGAAGAAGAGGAGGAAGAGGCAGCGGCAGAGGTGGCAGTGGAGGCGGCAGAGCCAGAAGAGGGCTCCGGGGAGGAGGTGCCCATGGAGACTAGAGAGAATGGACTGGAAGAGTGTGCCGGCGAGCCTTTGTTGGCTGACCCAGAGGCAAGGAGATCACTGGGCCTGGCCCGTGAGGAGGACGGTGTCCAAGATGCTAAGAGTCAACCACAGGCCTCTCAGGACCAGGACAGCCACGCACTATCCCCTCAGGTGTGATCGGAGGCTTTGCAGTGTGTGCGGTTGGGGTGGTGCCATGGCGTCCTCCACCTGCCATGCGGACTGAGGGAGGTAGAAGGCCCTGCCCTGGTGTGAGTGTGGCCGGCTGTGTAGAGCAGTGTCTGGCATGAGCTGCCGGTGCTGGGTGTCCCTCAGCCCCAGGAAATATGGGGTTGCCAGGACCTTACAGCTCTGAATTTGCTTCTGTTATTTATGGCTTTGTGCTGCTTCTTGGTACCCCAACTCTTGTCTGTGTCCTTCCAACCCCAGGCTGCTTACGTGGCCCTGCCCCAGTGCTGTCCACTTGGCTTGAAACCCCTCAGCAGCTATGTGCTTCTGGGAGGTCCCACCTGCGGCCTTCAGCCGGGGGACTCCTCGGAGCTCTGTTTTCTCGCAGACACCGGCTCTCCTTCCTGCCTTGAGCCTGAGAAGGAGGGGGTTAAGGGGTGCTGACACCCCTCTGGGAGAGCGAGCTCTGCCCAGCCTGGCTTGGCGAGAGCCCTTGGTCACCTAGCCCTTCCCTTTTGTCTTCTTAGTCTTTCCCCCCAAACAGTCCTGAGAACTAATTGTCACTGGGCTCTCCATGTCTCTGTGGGTGGAAGAAACCTCTGCAGCACACCTGTTTGCACCCCAGGGAGAACAGGGGGTGCGGCAAAGGCAGGCAGGCCCCAGGAGCCAGACAGACCCCTTCAGAAGGGCTGTGGGTGGGCCTTTGCTCCGCTGCTCTGCCTTTCCTGACAAGTGGGGTTTGGGGCACACAGACATTGGAATATTTGTACTCTTGCTCCTGTGCCATTAGAGAGGCTGCTGCCCCAGGCAGGCAGCCCCTCCTCCTCTTGGCTCCACTCATGTTGCTCAGACTATATTTCAAATAAAAAAATCTTCTTACCATGCAGGTAGGCTCTTGTATTCCTCTTCAAGTGAGCCTGGCCCTACTCTGTCCCACCCAAGGGTCTTTCTGAGATGTCCCCTGTCTGTTCCATCTCTGTGGAAGAAAGATGCTTCCTACTGCCCCAGGAAGGTGTTCTCTAGATTCTGGAGCTTGTGCTCTGAACACCAGGAGCCCCAGGCTTCCTGGTTTTCTAGAGAAACCTGAGGGGGCAAGGGAAGGGGCACAATGCCAGTCAGAAGTCACTTCCAAGGTCTCCCCTGTGCTAGTGGCATTGGCTTTCAGGCCTATTGACATTTTCTGGGCACCTCCATCTTTCCTACAAATGGATTTTCAACCTAAAAGAACCCCTTACTAGTGAGGAAGCAAAAAGGGGTGGAGAGGAGGAATTCTGCAATTTTCTTATGGCATTCAAAAGACCTTGTTATTGCCACTGCCACAGGGGACTGAGATGTGACAGAATTAGGATTAGACTTGGGAGGCTGGCTGGCTTTCACTGATGGGTTTAGGGCCTGCCCAAGCACAAGGATGACCTCTGACTCAAGTGACATGGGGCTGGGCCCAGCAGGATCTAGTGTAGCAAAAGGAAATGGGTGCTGGCTGGGTTCTCAGAGGTGATCTTTCAAGGGAGGCATTAAATATCAATTGTAAATTATTAAATCAGATAAATATGCCTGACCTTTTCACAATTGAAAAAAAATACATTTTCTTCCTTTATGAAATGCCAAGTTTTTAGTGGAAATACTAATGACAGTGGGAAAGGTTAGTGCTTGCCTCAGTTTCGGGCTGTCTGTACCCTTTTAATAACTGCTCCTTCTGGCAAGGGTGCCACCTCCTTGCTCCCCAAACTCGCTGTGAGGGCAAGCCAGGCCCATTTCCAGCTTGCCTGCAAAGCCAGAGGTAGCCTCAGCTTTGCCATTGTCCCATTCCCAATTCTAGTTGCAGGGAACCAGCCCTGCACCCCGGGTCCATTCATAAGAACAGGCTCTAGAGGAGGCTGATAGGAGGATTTGAAATGGATGGATGAATCCCTTCCTGCTCGGAAGCAGTAGTAACTGGAGAACAGGCAGAGATGGTGAAATCTCTGGTTTGAACCCACGTCCTGACCCCAGATACATCTCTCCTTCCTGAGAACAGTATGGTGTGGAAGAACGCTGAGCCACTCACTGGGAAACCTGGGTCTTTTTTTTTTTTTTTGAGTTGGAGTCTCACTCTGTTGCCCAGACTGAGCCTCGACCTGCTGTGCTCCGGCGATCCTTCCGCCTCAGCCTTCCGAGTAGCTGGAACTACAGGCGCGCGCTACCACACCCGGCTGATTTTTGATTTATTATAGAGATGAGGTCTGGCCAAGTTGCCCAGGTGGGTCTTGATCCCGCGGGCTCAGGCAATTCACTCAACTCAGCCTCCCAAAGGCGCGGGATTACAGGCTGAGCTTCCGAGCCCGGCGGAAACCTGGGTCTTTAGCCAGCTCTTAACACAACCCCTCTAACCTCACTGGCTTCTCCCCTTCAAGACAGAGTTACTAATTCCCATCCAACCGCTTCATGGGCTTTTGTGAGTTCATGAATGTGAAGCATTTTCTAGTTTATGAAACACTATATGGATGTGGGGGAGTCTTCACATGACCTTAGGGCGAGGAGGGGGAGCACACTTTTCTGCTGCTCAGATTTGGATGCTGACTTTCAGTTAGCAACTGGCCCAGAACACCTCTCCGTTTTTTAGTAACAGTGATGATAATAGCATTTTAAGCACTGCTTGTGTACCCAGCAACTTGCTAAATACTTTCTGGTGATTCTCTCATTTAATCCTCACAAAGATCTCAGTTATCCTCCGTTTTTCAGAGAAGAAAATGGAGGCCCAGAGAGCTTAACTGATGTGCTGGGTCACCTGTGGTGATGGTGCTGAGTGAACCGCTGCGCTGCCTTAGTGACCAGGGCTGCTTTGTCCGGCTGCCAGCTTGTCAGCGGTTTGCAGCCATCCCGATGTTTGCTTTCTTACTTCCCATGCAGTGGGGGCATACCCACCAAGTGCCAGGTTCTCTTTGGAGTCCGTCTGTGCCTTGTCACCCCAAAGAGGGCCTTGTGCGTCACCATGCTTGTGACATTCCGAAACACATGCAGTGTCTCTACCGTCTTTCATTCTCATTGGGATTTACCTTGCCACTTGAAGACCATCATTTTTTGAGGACTATCCAAAAAAGGTTGCCAAGCCTACACAGGGAACACATGGTTCCCTCAGAGTCCAGTATCTTCTGATCTTTTCTTTTTCAAGATGTTTTTTAATGGTTGTACTATCATTTGTTAAAATCAGATAATGCTTGTGGTAACAAGCATTTATCTGCACATTATGCTGCAGTGAATGCTCTACTGATCAAGTTAAACAGATAAGATCCCCACCCTTGTAGAAACTACAATTTAATACACTTTAAGGCTTGACAAATGCCTAGTATTTATTTTCCAACTGCTTTATGTCTGTAAACTGATATCCTGAATTGCTATAAGTTAATTGTTGTAGAAAGAACTTTCCCCTTAACTTACGTAAACAGTCTGGTTTCTAAAAACATAATAATTGTGGCCCAGCAAGTTCAACACTGCCTTCCCCAAGACTGAGGAAACTCTGCCCTGTTCACCACTGTATATTCAGCACCAGGCAGTTTCTATTATTTTTTGCTTGTCTGTTTTGAAAATTTAACACACATACTGGTAAGACATTCCATGATACAAAAGGGTATACAATAAACAGTAGGCTTCCCAATGGAGGGCAGCCTCCAGCCCCCTCTCCAGAATTAATCACTGTTGTCTATATCTTGTGTATCCTTTCAGAGCAATTCTATGCATTTACAAGTTTATAAATATGTATATTTATATATCTATTTTTAATACAAATGGTAGCATTCTATACACAGTGTTCTGAAGCTTGCTTTTTTCACTTACATAGTGTTTTGGAGGTTATTCCAACTTCATACAGTGGGTCCGTTATTCTTTAAAAGCTCCTAGCACAGTTCCTTGCATATAATAGTTCAGAAAGTATACGGATGAGTGAATGAATGCCTGCATGAATGAGTGAGTCTGATTCAGCTGGTACCTACCAAGTTCTCTCAGGGTCTGATCTGATCACATAGGACCTTCTAGATTCCAGAATGTATCCCCCTGTCTTTTCCAAGGGGTTCAGGATGCTGTTCACCCTCTCCAACAACAGATACCACAGCAACCTTAGCAACCTCAGGAAGCCTTGGGGCCCTGAAGGAAAAAGCAGGGACTAGAACCTGCTCCCAAATTTGGGATTTTTTTGGGAGGAGGTCCTATTTAAAATACCTTTTTCTTACTGGAAAATGATGTAACATTATTAGAGAATATTAAAAACACATATTTATAATCCCATCCTCTTATCATTGTAGTTGTTTTCATTTTTTGCACATCACTTTATAATCTTTGTTCAGCATATTCATAGTTGAATTTATGGTATAATTATAGCGACAATGGTTAACCTTGAACGTTTCTATTTGGCAGACATTTTTCTCACATTCATTTCTTATTTAGCATCATAACAATCCTATAAGATACATACTACTGTTATTCTTTTGGAGACAGTAAAATTGAGGATCAGAATGACTGAGTAATTTCCCTAAGGCCACAGAGCTAATAACAGGCAGAGTTGGGATTCACACTCAGGTATGGCTAACGCTATACTGTCTCTGATTTTGTACCTTGCTTTTTTCACTAAACATTATGTCCTGGACATTTTTCATGTTAGTCATTTGGACTCTCCAGGCCTTAGGTATCTCGTCTGTCAAATTAGAGGGTTAGTTTATATCTCTGGGGATTTTGAACTTGGTTAAATTTTTATCTTCTTATTCCTATGTACATTCATGTCAAAATAGGGAAGACTTTCCCAAAGGCAAGAACTCGTATTTCCTCTTTTATCTAATTGTTTTATTTATGAATTTACTCCTGGCCTAGATATATCCCCAAATGGAAAAGATCCCTCTTTTCCAGTCTACCCCTCAAGACAGTATTACTTTTATTTGCATTTATTTATTTTTCACTTTGTATCACATTTATGCTATTTTAGAAAGAGTTCTAGATCTTTTATGCATACCAATTTTGAGGTTGCTTTTTTTTTTTTTTTTTTTGGAGGCAGTGTCTTGCTATGGTGCCCAGGCTGGTTTTGAACTTCAGGCCTCAAGTGATTCTCCCACCTCAGCCTCCCAAGTAGCTGGGACTATAGGTGTGAACTATTGCTCTAGGCATGTTTTGGGCTTTTGTCAAGACTTTTGAGGTTTGAACTCAAGTTTGGTCTACTTGATAATTCCCAAGCATCTTCAGTCCTGTCACCCACACATCTTTTCATTAGGGACCTAGGTCCAGATGAATTCTTTTTTTTTTTTTTTTTAGAAAGCAGGATTTAAGAGGACAGAAAAGCTCCCACAGTGAAAGGGGACTCAAAAGGATTGCCCCCAGATGAATTCTTGAGCTGGTTCATTGTGTCATGCTTTGGTCTTTAAAAATGCTCTTTTTTTTTTTTTTTTAACCATTTGCAGACTTAAACTGAGTTCTCTTTAGTGCACAAATACAAAAAATAAATATATAATTGACTGTATGACAAATAGAACCTAAAAGAGGCTATAAAGCCATTGAAGTCAGTTCTAACTGGAAGAAGTCCCCAGCACGGTGAGTGTTCAAGTGCTCGAACTCCTGGGTTCCTGCCTCTGCAGCACCGCCATGTATTCTGGGTGGGCATGCGATCACACCTAGCATTTGAGATCACTCATCCAGATCCACTGGATCCTACTTTTCAGATTTAATCCCATAGCCTCTGTGTCCAGTCTCTGTGGAAATGGGGACAGTAGATTCCACCTTTGATATTTGAAGAGAGCGATGAAGCTCCTCTTCCATCTCACATTCATTAAACCGGGAAGCCCCAGTGTTTCCATTTCCAGGCCTCCCTTTTCTGTGATAGCCCATGACACACTACACAGCTCCTATTTTCCTCTGGGGCTTTTTAGT